CAGAGGTTTTGTTCTTTTTGAGCATCCCAGCGTATCATGACAGTGAACCAGCATGAGCAATAGCAGGACCCTGAAACAACTAAATGGAATTTATCTATTACGAATTGTATTATTTACACTTGTGTTTTTCTTTCTGTAATAATTATAGTAACTGTAGCATCAGCTATCAAACAGCATTCCTCTAAATTCATTTTTATCATATTCTTTTTAAATACAGTGGGGGATAATTGTTGTTTGCTATTTTTGATTTCTCCACAGGTATTTTCTCTGGTGCTGATGGGTCATCGTCTGGGACAGGAACGGTTGCCGGCTCTGAGTTGCCGCAGCAGCAGCCCATTCCCTCTCTAGCCCCCCCCTCTCCATTCACTGCCACTGCACCGTTAACCAGCACAGCCTCCACACACGTGAGTCCAAATACACAACCTGTGCTCAGAACTGCTGCCTTACTGTCCTTACTGTCACGTGCTCAGTGAACACACTTCACTTTTTTCTTTCACCCAAACACACACACACACACACACATTCAGTTCTTTACATCTGTCAGTGCACCCACATGTCTTAACATCTTTGAGCTGAAGTGCATATATGTGGAACACAAATAAACCAAAGCACACTAATTAAACAAATCTCTCAGCACTATTTACTAATCCACTGCTCTTTAATTATGTGTGAAAGCTGGGAGTCCTACCCTTGTGCAGGTCGTGTTTTCTCTGTTTTTCTGTAGCTGATTTTTTTTTTTTTTTTTCTGTTCAGAGCACATTTCAAGTCTTTCATTTGTTTCTGAAACTTTTGTTGTATCACCTATGATTCAGCCTAATTCAGTGACTTAGTGAGCAGGGGCTGTATTATATTAAGTGGCACAATTTGATTACTACACATGTGCACAAAATGTGCACAAAAGGTGACATTTTCCTGTTGAAATAACTAGAAACTAGGATTCTAATGTAATGAAATTCTGGACCATATATTTATATTGTTGTAATACACACTATTACGATGAAGCTGATGGGACATTACATAGCATGTCAGAAAATAGGTCCATAATCCAGGGTTGCATGGAAAAATCCCTTCCACCTTGAATTTGTATGAAATGTTTTGGATCTTTTAAGTATTAATAAAAATACATATATAATTATGTTTTAGATTTTTCAAAACGTATTGCCATTTAATGTGTGTGATGCAGAAGGAACATTTGAGCAGATTTATCCACATAGAAAAGAGCTAAAACTGCAATTTGTGTACTTTTTTTCAGTGTCTGATTGTTTTTGCTGTCTCATTGGCTTAAATACGCTTGCATTCAAAACTGAGGCCGCTGACTCGACCTCGACTCAACTCAGACCAAAAGACAACGTTCTGTCTCTGTCCACCCAACTCCATTTCTCCCCCCCCCCCCCCCCACACACACACACACACACACACACACACTTTCTCTCACCCTCAACCTTCCTTCTCTCTGTCCCCATCCATTTCTCTTTTTCTCTCTCTGTTGTCCTGTGATGTAATGACATCTGACAAGCAACACAGTAGGGATGGAGGGATAGATAGATGGAGGGAAGGAGGGGTCATTGCGAGTGCGTGTGTATGGGGTTTGCACTCATGCCTAAAACTTGTTAGACTGGCCTTCATCTTGCTTTGCTCCTCTTCATTCAGCACAGTGTAGAGGGCAGCAGGCCCAGCACAGAATATCACACCTGTTTGCAGCATGTACGTATAAAGGAGGTTGGGCTGTAGACGTGTTTTTTTTTGTTTGTTTGTTTGTTTTTTGTTTTTTTTACGTGTGTGAGAGAGAGAAATAGTCGGAAAGAGAAAAGCAGAGGAAGGGAGGCTTAAGTAGAGAAATGAAAATGGTTTTCCCTTCAGTTGGTTGCTCCAGATTGTTAAAAACAAATCTGCATGTTTGTTTGTAAAGTGTCTATATGTGCATGCTTCTGAGCATCTGGAACACACGCACACAAACTCTCCAAAGCAGGTCTGCAGAAATTACGCAACAATAGAAGGATGCCAACAATGGGCTTCCCTCAATGTCTGTGCGCGCGTGTGTGTGTGTGTGTGTGTGTGTGTGTGTGTGACAGAGACAGTTTGCTATTTTCAGTCTACTAGCAGACTCCCAGCCTACTGTTACTGGCTCTTAGCCCAGGACACAGAAAGGGATGGCAGGAAAATCTCAGAATAAAAATTAATGTAAATGAAAAATGAATGTTGATGTAAAAGGAGGCTGCATTATTATTATTGCACTGGGGGGAGGGGGTCATTTCACCGTTGGGGGGTTAACAAAAAGAGCCGTTTCCTTTTTGAATGTATCAGAATTTCTAGGATTGTTTTCCAGATTTTATTTGACATGTTTTGACTTGATTTTCCGTGTTTTTTTTGTGGGGTGGGGGTTCTTTTCTTGCTTTTTTGTTTGTTTGATTATTAAGAAAAGCATATTTTTGTTTTGAGTCAAAGTGCAGGGGAAACCAGACTTAAGCTCTGTTCTTAAGTGTATCTAATCTGTCAGTTATAACTATTGTAAAATTTTGTTTTGACACTGAGGAATGCGTTGTTGTTTTTTGTTTGTTTGTTTGTTTGTTTGTTTTTTGAGAACTTTGACAGAATCACTCTGTCCATACATTTCAGCTTGGC